TTAAGGTTGTAATATGTGATTTGGTAACTGAAATTTTTAGAGTTCATACGTTAGTCAAATTATCAGTTTTTGTAAATTCAGAATTTTTCTTTTAGAATTTCGGGTTAACAGGTCGGGTCACGGGTGACCTGAATATTTTCAGGTCGGGTTAGGGTTTTGAAAGTCAACCTATTTATTTATACAGGTCGGGTTCGGGTTTGCTATATTTTATTTGGATTTGGATCTGACCCGACACACCATCCCGAACCCGACACGAATTGCCAGCCCTAGTCTGAAGACTAAATTTACATTTTTTGATAAAAACGTCTGAATATAATGTCTGAAAACTGAAGTTTGAAGTCTGAAGACTGAATCTGAATACTCATGTCTGAAAGTTAGAGTCAAACCCCAAAATATGTCTTGTTCTGGATATGAAGATCGAAATGTTTTGTTCTGGATATGAAGATCGAAATAGCTAGATCAGATGGAGTAGTCAGAAAAAGTATGCGCCGGAAATTTTATTTCCGTTTTTTAATCTACAGTACCAAAAACGGATTTATTAATTCCGTTTTTCTGATGATTAGGTGCAATTAATAAAACGGAAAATGATAATCCGTTTTTAATTTTGTAAATTATTGCGGGAAAAAATAGAGAAAAATTGTAATTTAAATAAGGGGAGAAATATTTTTCCAAAAATAAAAACGGAAAATCAAAATCCGTTTTTAACCAAACAGACTGAAAAAAAAAAAAAACAGACTACAATCATACTCAAAAAACCAAAAAAAAAAAAAAGTCATAATACAACATCAAAATAACACCAAATTGATCAACAAAACGCTGGAGGCATATTTCAGAGCCATAAATTACAATTTTTTTTTTTAAAAAAAATAGAGCTAGTACTTCAATAGAATTTGTATAATTAAAGATATAACACATTCACTCCAACATAAGACAACCAATTTTAACGCCGAAAACAGAATAACAATTGTCAAGGAATAAAAAACAGAGCCAATGATGGAATAGTACTTCTCCAATGTTCCAAAGGCAAAAGAGGCAAGAACAGTGTAGACAACACAATGAAGCACCAAAACAGAACCATCACCAAATTAATTAAATTTACTACATTCACAAATCAACTAATTACAAAATTCTAAATCCTTTAACATATCCAAAATAAAAACTACATTACTAGATCCGCCACATTTTTTAACATAAATGTGGCTGAAAGTAAAGAAGGTCCTTCTCGATCGGACACTAATTTATGAAGTTTTTGGATTTGCATCGAAGAAGAACGAGCCATCTTTTCTAAACAAAGAACACAATAACAAAGAGAACCATTATTTTTTAAAAATTAAAAAAAAAATACACGGAATCAAATATAAGAAAAGAAACAGAACCATAACAATGTACTAAATCTTGACAGCGATGTACTGAATCTTGACAAAATTGACGGAATTTGGTGATAGTAGGTTTCAAATACAGTATTGCGGATGTGCATGTATGGTGGATTTGAGAATTAGATGGGGGTAAGGTGGGTGGTGGCTGCCGGGAAAAAACTAGGGTTTAGAAACGAGGCGGAGGCGAGTCGACGACGGGGAAGAAAAGAAGAAAATGGAAAGAAGAATAGTATTAATAGTATTAACGTATAGTGGGTAATAGTATTAACGTACTGTATAGTATTAATGATTCGAACCGAATTGTATAGTGGGTAATAGTATTAACGTACTAAGTAATAAGTAACACTAGTACCAGTGATATCTAGTGGGTAATAGTATTAACATACTACATAATATTAGTACGGACAAATAGTACATAACACTAGTACAAATGAATTATATTGAATTAATAATAATATCTAATGACTAACCAATTTAATAGTAATAATTAATACTAGTACCAGTGATGTATAGTGGGTAATAATATTAATGTACTACATAATACTAGTACGTACAAATAGTACATAACATTAGTATACATGAATTATACTGAATTGATAATAATACATAATGACTAATAGATTTAACAGTAATAACTAACACTAGTACATACAAATAGTACATGAAACTAGTATAGATTAATTATATTGAAGTAATAATAATATCTAATAACTAATAGATTTAACAGTAATAAGTAATACTAGTACCGGTGATGTATAGTAGGTAATAGTATTAACGTACTACATAATACAAGTACGTACAAATAGTACATAACACTAGTATAGATGAATTATATTGAATTAATAATAATATCTAATGACTATAAATTCAACAGTAATAAGTAACACCAGTACCAGTGATGTATAGTGGGTAATAGTATTAACGTACTACATAATACTAGTACGTACAAATAGTACATAATGCTAGTACACATGAATTATACTGAATTGATAATAATAATACCTAATGACTAATAGATTTAACAGTAATAAGTAACACTAGCACTAGTGATATATAGTGCATAATAGTATGAACGTACTACACAATACTAGTACGTACAAATAGTACATAACACTAGTACAGATCAATTATATTGAAGTAATAATAATATCTAATGACTAATAGATTTAACAGTAATAAGTAATATTAGTACTAGTGATGTATAGTAGGTAATAGTATTAACGTACTACATAATACAAGTACGTACAAATAGTACATAGCACTAGTATAGATGAATTATACTGAATTAATAATAATATTAATAGTATTAACGTACTACATAATACAAGTACGTACAAATAGTACATAGCACTAGTATAGATGAATTATACTGAATTAATAATAATATCTAATAACTAATAGATTTAACAGTAATAAATAACACTAGCACCGACGATGTATAGTAGGTAATAGTATTAACGTACTACATAATACTAGTACGTACAAATAGTACATAACATTAGTACAGATTAATATCTAATAATCAATAGGTTTAGCAGTAATAAATAAGACTACTACTGGTGATGTATAGTATATAATAGTATCAACGTACTACATAATACTAATACGTACAAATAGTACATAATACTAGTACACATGAATTATATATACTGACTTAATAATTCATCTGACCAACTGAAATACAAAAAAAGAATAAAGATTTTCCTTTTTTGGGTTCAGAAAAACGGATTTGTAATTTTTGTTTTTATTTTTTAAAAAAATTTCAATATTTTCTATTTCGACATAATTCTTTTTCCAATTTTCAGTATTTTAAAAACAAAAAAATAAAAACAGAAAATGGAGATCCGTTTTTGTGATTACAATTAATAAAACGGAAATCCAATTTCCAGCCAAATCTTTGCATGACCACCAAAAATTGAATTATAAACAAAATTCTTTTAAATAGAAAAATAACTAATATTTTGTTCTAAATAATAAAATAATAATTTTAAAATAAGTTTTTGGTATATATAATGAAAGTAGATGTTACACTTGATAAATAATCAATATGTAATTAAATTTAGATTATTACATATATGTGTATATCTTGTTATTTAACAAATTTCATGTCTTAAAATTAGTTTAATTTGAGTTTGAAAGTTTGAGATCTTTTATACTCATAATATAAATTCAAGTTTAAGTAGTCTTAATTAATTTATCTTAAGAAAATAAAAATTTTAAAACAATGTAAAAATAAGCGACAAAATAAAGACGAGAGAAAAAAAGAAAAAAAAAAAGAAAAAAAAGAGTCATCAGAGAAATTAAGTGATAAGTGATAAGTGGTAGGCCTATCACTTATTCTCTAGCTCACAATTGAACTGGTCATTCAGACACACTTAATTAATTTAGACAGTGAAATTTAGTTATCAAACGCACTTAATTTGTAAATATTTAATTTGTTCAGAACTTAATTCATTAAGACTTTTTAGTAACGATTATCAAACACATTTAATTTCATTAAGCACTTAAATAAATTAACTCACTATATTAAGTGATTATCAAACAGAGCTTAAGACTAAAAATATACAAATATATTGAGTTATGTCGGTACTTTTTCTTGTCGAATTTTAGCACTTTCCCTCATTTTGTACTGTACTAAGTCTGTTTTGACATAACACTTAAATTTATTGAAAGGTAACATACATGTCAAAGTCAACTAAGAAAAAAATAAACACGGCTAGTGTTTCAGATAAATTTAAAAATTTCCTGTAGATTTGCCAAATCGGGAGTATTTGTTTCAGGCATCACATATGCTTACATTCACGATACAAATAAGAGAGCTGTTATTGTCAAAACAACGATTAATGTTTAAAATGAATTTTTATTTTCCTTCCATAGTTACCCTTCTCAAGTTTAGAGCGACCTTTTTTTTTTTCTCAACCATTTTTTCCTCTTTAAACCTATTTGCTTAATTCAACATATATTTAGTAAAACCCAAAAACATGTTTTTTATTGTCTTCCTTCCGTAGTAATTACCCCTTCTCACTATAAATAAACACAAAATGGGATTGAATTATGACGACAGTAGTTTTCCATCTTTTTTGGGGTAAAAGTGTCATGACATTAGCCAATTTTTACGTTAAATAATTTTGGAAAGATTAAAGTATGATTTCTGTTTCTTAGGTGTTGATTATGCTTAAACAACATTAGTGTACTGTAAATGTGGATTATGGATTAAATTAAGTAAATCTCTGAGATCATCTTCTTTCCCCAATTTTCCTCATTCTTCCCCGTTCTTCTCTTCCCCCCATCTACGATCTATATGTCTCATCTTCTGAAATCTGAATCTTCTGTTTGGTTTGTTTTTTCTTTTTAACAATTTTTAATTAATAATAGTCAAATTTCAACCTAACTTTTTACATTTTCAATAAAAAACTAACTAACAAAATTTCCATACTCTCATAATTCTGATTTTTCTGGCATCGTGACAAAAAGCCGAAAATTGAATCCAAAATATGAGCCCAAAATTTATGTTGGGCTTGTGTAAGCCCATCAAATTTCATGTTGTCATTTCATAAAGCCGTTATTTTATTGCCTTGCATCAAATCACGCCTTTTTACGAGCGCCACAGCTCCTCATTTTATTTTTTTTCATCCCGCTTCTTCTTCCCGCGCCTTGAATTCACTCGAAAATTTCAAGACGTTTTTAATTTTTTGTTTAGTCTCGGGAATATTTTATTCTTTCAGTTCCCAAATGGAAGATTTTCGTTTTTCCTCCGGAGCATGAGCAATGGTGGAAGGAGGAGGAGGCGGAGGAAATACGGCGGCGGCGTCGGCGTTTGCCAAGACCATCTGCTCAATCTGTTACGAAGATCTCAAGCCCATCGTCGAAGATCTTCAATCTATCTCCATCTGCGGCCACGTATTTCACGAGCTATGGTTAGATTAACCGATCCACTTTTAAGAACTCCATCCGCCATAATTTTTATTTATTTATTTATTTTTTATTTCTCGAATTTTGGGATTGTATGCGTTGCATTAGGTTATTCTGATTCCGAAACTGGGATGCTTTTAGTTTTAGAATGTTAATTGAATGAAGGAAGTCTTTTTTTTTTCCCTTACTTTTTTCGGGGGGTTATTTATGAAGTTCCAGTTTGATGTAGCATGTTGAACAAGCGTTTGTAATGAAGTCAGAACTAAGAATGCTGTAGTTTCTTATGTTAGGACATTGGAATATAGCAGGATGAAGGCTTATTTTTTTGTTTGATTCGATGAATACTTAGAGAAGATTGAAGCTTTTTTTTTAGCACAGTTAGTCTTACAAATTGACATAGCTTGTTGAAGTACTGTGAAAGTAGAAATGGTGACTTGTTTGGGTTAATGTGTGAAGGCCGCCTCCCATTCTTTTATTTTTTTTTTGGGTGGGGGCTTAAAACAAGTAATTAGCCTGAAAAGATTAATTTTTGTAAGCATAGTTGGAGTTTCAAATCTATGTAGCATGTAGAAGAAGGGTGAAATGAAAAGGCGAATGTTACATTTTATCATCACATCTATGGCAAAGGTTTTTTTGTTACTTCATTCTAATCCGAATCAATCAGTTATTCTGAGAAGATTGCTTTGTTTTGCTATGATTGAAGAATGATGATTTGTCTCTCTTATTTAACTACGAAATGTCAAATGTCAATCCATTACAAGAGATTAAAATTTTTGAATTGTTGTATTAGGGACTACTTGATATTGCATGTTGAAGGATTGTCAGTTGTGACTGATATTTTTTCCTTCTTTGGTTTGGTGTCTTGTTTATTTAACTTTAGTCTTCAACAATGGTTTGAGTACTGCACAAATGGGAAGAAGAAAAACTGCCCTGTATGCAAGCAGAACTGTTCAAAAGCAAATGTGGCTCGCCTTTATTTCCAGTCCATTGGAGACCCCAATGATCAAAATCTTACCCAAAAACCAATATACTCTGAGGAGAATCCGGAAGAATTACAGAATGAAATCAGTAGGTTGGAGGGAAAGGTGTCTAGACTCAGCTCAGCTTTGGATCAGCAACAGAAGAGCTATGAAGCTTCCAATGCTGAGGTAGTTTTAATATTAGAATTCTATAATATATATTGTGAAATAGGCCATAGAGAAGAAGCTGATCTGTTGTGTTCATGCTTTCCTGGGCCTGGGAATGTTTGCTCAGTTGCTTGCTTTGAAGGAACAGTTAAAAGTGGAGGAGGCCCAGAAAAAGGAAGCTTTGAACCAGAATGCCGCAAGCCAGAGACTAATTCGTTTGAAATCCGAGGTAGATTTTTTTTTCCCTTTCTAGAAAACAGCATGTTGTTGACTGATATTGAGCTTATAAACATAGGGATTGGTCAGTATCTAAATTACAATCCTGCAGGAGTTGGATCGATCAACCTTGGAATGCATGAGGCTTCAAAATAGAAATTTGGCATTAGCTAAGGAACTTGCAGCTCTGAAACTGTGAGTTCCTTGCAGAAAAATCATATTAGAAGATTCTTTCTTTTGAAGATTCATGCTTATTAAGTTTGAATTTGTGTGTTAACCTACAGAGTATCTGATTTGGACTTAAACGAGGGTGAGATTTTGAAGCTAGCATGTTTGGGTAATGAGGTCAACAACAAGGAGACTGTCGATGTTCTGAAGAAATCTTTGATGATCCGTAACAAGTATGCTGTGGTCATTATTATTCTCGCTCTCATTGCCAGTTTGAACTAAGCATTAAAAAATGTTTTGTTGAACTATGTGAGATCTACATAGACTTGCATTGCACTTTGTAAGACTCTTTTTTGCATATTTCCTGTGTTTCTGTGTTTCTGATTGTATGATTGTTGTCATTTGAATGTGGTAGGAGTTACAAGGAATTGATGAACAAGTGCAACATGATTGGAAGAGGGGAGACCCGCTCACTTGCAGAACTTAAGAAGGCTCAAGAAAAGATAAAGAAGCTGAAAGTAAGTTTGTGAATCCCTCCGTTGATGAAATATTATCAGGTCGTGATTAGCTTCATACTTAATATCTATAACTAACAGGAAAGAATCCAAGAACTTGAGTCTTTCGTAGAGGTAAGAGATAATGAAGCCTTGAGAATGCTGAAACCTTCTCGAGCTGCTACAAATTCAATTAATGCCCCCACTAGCAGTTTACTTAAACACACCAAATCTGTAGTAAGCACATACGGAGATCAAAACATAGCACCGTCTCTTGCAGAGAGAAATATGACTGTAGAAGAGGACATGGATGTTAGTTATTCTCTTTTAAGAAAGAAGAGGAAGGTTGAACCTTTTGGATTTACCAGTAAAGCAAATCCGGTAGAAGAAATAGTCACAAGAAAACTTTCTCCTGATAATCAGGAGAAAGTTTCCTTCTTGATTGATGAAAATGTGAATGTGACAGAAGCTTCCACGTCTGCATTGCATCCTTTATCTGAAAAAAGAGCAGGAGATCAAGAAAGAAATACCCAAGTTCAGAATATTACACCAGCTGCTGCAGGTGCTAATCCATCTGTAAGCGAGATCTCTGATGATGAAGTTATGGTTATAGATGTTGATAAAGAATTATCTCAGTCCTTTAAAGTTAATAAAGAAATTTCATCACCAGTTGTTTCTCCTCCAGGTACTCTTTACATTTTGTGTGTACATATGTGTCTTGCATTTCAGAAATCGTTTTTCTCTATAAGCTTTATGCATGTGTCACACTGACACTTCCAAGTCTACCTTTGAAATATCATTCAATTGTTATAGCTTCAACCTCATATTTGATCAATGACAGGAAATAGCTGTTTTGCTGCTGGATTACTTGGCCCTGACGGGACCAAATGGCACTTGGGGAAATGGTGCAAGAAGGCAAATAGTAAGGGTCAAGCATCAATGACTACAGGACTGCAGGGTTCAAATGCTAGTTCTGGGAATTTGATTGCCGTTGGGGCTGATGGTCGGGGTGGCACAATAAAAGTTTTGAGAACTCTAAACCAAACATCACTGGTGGGTTTCTCAATATTCATTTTGAGTATTATTTCATCCCAAAATTCCTTACTTTTGCATATGATTGGTTTTGGGTACTTAGTTTTGTACTGAACTTGTCAAAATTGTTTGGTATTTGCTAGTTATGATAAAAGGTAAAAGATGACTTCGGTTTTGTTGATTTTGTTGCAAATCATTACAAGAATTGATCTGGTGCTATGTTTAGATCTGGTTTTACTTTTAGTTCTTCGGCGCGTAAACAGTTTTTGTCACTTTGTTTAATCCTTAGCCTTACTCAATCATTTCTTACATATTTCAAAAAGATAAAACAATTTTAGGTGCACTAATGATTGTGAGGTTTCACGGCTAACATGTTTTAGAGTGACTTTAGTTCAGAAGGACCTATAATTTTGAATGTGGTAACAGCAACAAGTGAAAAATGATTGTTGGTTTTGATCTGCATTTCTTAAGGACGTTTCAACTGATAGAGTAACAATCTTTCACTATTTCTTTGCAAGTAGGATATTAGGGGAACTCAGACAAGCACCAGGACGAACCAAAATGGAGCAAAATCAAGTAGTTTTTCGAAGTCCCATGGATGCAGGCAAATAGATCACTTTTTTGGAAGGTCTAGCCAGCCACAAAAGTTCTGAAGCCATTTAAAGAATCTAAAATTTTGTGAATTACTGTATCCAGCTGCAGTGATCCATGTAATTTACTGCTTCTAGAAGTGGCAAATGTAGAACGTATCCTAGAAAGACATTCTAACATAACCATGTACAGAGAAATATTGTCAACATTTTGATTTTTCCTGAGGAATTTTTGATGAAATGTCTGTCTACTTACTTAGAACATGACATATTTGTAGAGACTTACTATTAACGCATCCTTAGAGTCAGAATGTAACATGTCAATGGATATGGTTTCAGTCAATTTCCTTGCTACAGTTTTTGATTGCTCATTGAACGAAGGGATAGCCGATTCCTCTTTGCCTTCATTTTTGAAACAGTGAAATATTCATGAGCTAGTAGCAGAATAGCAGTGGTTAGTATTGGTCTTGTTTCAACCATTTGGCTGTCTGGAAGATTGTTGATATCTTTAAGTTAGACTTTGGACACAAAATATAGTTGGTGAGGGAATATTTCTTAGGTTAGAGATTGCCAATTCCAAATGTGCAGAAAGAAAATAGAATTCCATGTCTGCTTGCTGTTTCCTTGTTATTGGCATATGGTTTTTTAATTTATCACAACTTTCATTCAGTTGCAGACATATCCTCTGTGCAAGAATCTGTCACTAAGATGGGCCTGATATGACTCATAAGCTCATTACATTTCACTTTGTCAAAATGCAGCCATAGTTCAGAAGCTAAGTTTTTTGGCTAGGAAACATCAGTAATACAAGAAATACAAGGAAAACCAGAAAAAACAAGCATGGGGGAACAGTAATACAAGGAAATTACTGAAGCTAAAGAATTGCATCATCACTGACTAGAAATGGATAAATATGGACTTGATGGTGTCAGATACTTTCTTAAAATCTTCGCCTCGTGCTGCAATCCTTCTCTGGAAATTAAAGTTCATGACCGTGATTTCCAAAGTCTCTAGAGTTCAGATCAAACTTATATTCCCTCTGGAAGTGCATCTAGTTTAAGGCAGGATGATATCGGAAGGAATGAAAAGGCAATGCATGGCTCCGTTGTGAACTTCCCATTTATGTAAGTTGCTCAAACGGTTAAGTTCGAGATACCTCAACTGCCCAGAGGCCAGAAGCGCGACAAATCATCTCCTCCCCAATGAAGGACTTACCAACAAAAACAAGCTTTATCAACTTAGGAAGCTCCTTGAGGGTGCGTATTGGGTCTTCTGAAATCTCACTTCCTTGCAAGTTCAATTCCGTAAGGTTTGGAAAGAAGCCCTGTGCATACTCAGGTAGTTTTTTTTCCCTATATGCACAGTCCATGGGAATGATAGTTTATGAATGTTCCGGCATGTGAAAAGCTTTTTCAGAAGTTTCATTCCTTGTTCTGATGAAAATTTACAGTCACAGATCGGAATATTGGACCATTCCATGCCCTGGAGCCTTTGACAATTGCCCGTAAATTCAATGTTGTCGATGAAATCAGAAAGGCCGTTGTTTCCATAAATTTATGTTTTCAGTCATCGCAAACCTTTGAGTTGAGACAGATCGGAGACCATACAATTGTTGCTGCTGAATCCATATCATGTCTCCAACTCTTCCAAGCCAATTAGAGACATTTTCCCTTCCGACCCACCAGATAGAGTTTATGACATTTAAATATTCAATAGCATGAGTTTTTATAAAAATTGTCTTTGATCATTAGGAACGATCGTGTTTCAAGGTCAAGGGTCTGCAAGGATGACAAATCGCCGATGCAGGATGACAACTGGAGTAAGTAACAAACTGACGATACTAAAAAGCCAACAACCTGGAATGCTTCAATTTGCCAATTCCTTCCAGCAAATTTTCATCTTCAAACTTGACATATTGAAAATGGAACTCATAGAAATTTGAATTTCTCCTAGTCTCTCACTTCTTGTGGCATTGTCATGGCTAGATCCTGGAAAAGGTAATCGGGGTTTGGCACTTGAAGTAAGAGGGAATCGTTGTTGAGTGGATTCTTTTGTCAAGGAAATGCCACCAAGGTCTTCATCAATGTCCAAATAGACTGCTAATTTTCGCAGCTGAGAATCCGTGGAAGAAGGACTGAGGAATGATCTCTTCAACTTGAACCTAGACCATGGACCTGCTAGCCAGTTTGGTTAAGAATCGCATTGCTACATCCATTAATGTCTCGCCTTTCTTTTTATTCTCAGAAATAACTATTCCTTCAGCCATCGACAGTAAATAAAGTTCCTCTGCTCTTATGTTTTCATCTTCTTCAAACCGGCTCAAACACAGAAAACAAGGCATAAATCGTCATAACTCAGGCTTAAGACTTGTTTGATTTGTTTATTTTCTTTTGTTATCAACCCTAATTAGATAGTTTGTTCACCTCCCTCATTCAGAAGTTCTTTTTTAACTCAGAATGCCTCCAGTTATACTAATTGCTAACGATAGACGCCCACATTTCTTCACCATATCCTTCCCAAAGTCTCAAGTCTTGCTTCAAATCCTGAGCATGCCTCATCAATATGCAAAGATTTAGTCTTTAATTGATGAACCAAAAAGAAATTATTCTAGTTACACCAAAAAGCAATAAAAGATCCAGTCTCAATGCAAGGTTCTCAACTTGTTCCTCAGGCCTCTAACATGTACTTGCAATAATATGTTGTAATCCTTTGATTGGGATGAACAAACTGCAGGATCCAATTAGTTATCAGTCAATGATATGGAACTTGATTTACCTGATACAAATTTTTTTACAATAAAAAAAACAGGCCACCAAAGTTAACTTGACCTATCAAAGCTTGATGCAATGATCTAAAAAGTTCTTTCAGAATTTTATGCAAAACAAGAGAAGATAAATAAAGCGCACAACTACAACAAGTAATGTGGATTTAATTCACTGATCTTGAGGATTTGCGACAGCTCGAAATGTCTTGTTTTTGAGTAGTTCAACTGACTGATTAGGAAGTAGAGTGATTCATCCCTTTGGCAGCTAGTTAGTGATTTTAATTCATACTAATTTCACTCCTCTTCGAAGTTCCTTTATATGTATGTTATAGCCTTTAGATTGTGATATGTAAAACTCTCTACAGGCTAGAGTTTGTATTATTCAGCGTGAAGTGAAGAAATATTGAAAACTTTATTAAATCTTTAATTCTGATGATGAAAGATCGACAACGAGAAGCATGAAATAATATAGATTGATTATATTATGATAGAAACAATACATCTTGATCTTGAGATATATATTTAGGGTTTTTTTTCCCCACTTTTTCCAATTTTTATAATTTGTTCTATAGGTGATAATTTTGGAGACTTATGCTTGTGCATTTACTATTTGTGAAGCTTCTAGCTTATCAACATGTAATGTTTCAATGGATAGTGGTTGTAGTCATCCCTTTCTACGTTTTTTTCTTTGGTCGAAAATAGAATTTTATAGATTTATCTTAGATTACAACACGTCGAGGGTATGCTACCAAACTAAATCATGGTTATCGAGTCGAGTCAAACTTTCTGAATTCTGCACAATCAGTATGATAAAAAATCGGCTGCAAAATTATATTCTCTGATTACTTTATCAATTGAACACTGACAATTGGCATCTGCAGATAAAATTGATGATGTAATTTTCTTTTTCTTCTCCATTTTCGAAACTAAAACATTTGATCATATTCACGAATTTGTACGTAATACCTAGTGGTCACATCTCAGATTTGGCTGGCAGCAAACATAATAGGCTATCTTTGAATCAGAGTTTGGTATACCTTCAATTGGAATTCGAAGGCTGAAAATCTTGATGAGGGATAAATATTTAAGTATTAGGTTCAAAATTAAAGTTTAATTCCAATGTTTTTAATTGGTTTGCTTCTTTCGTTTACCCTATTTAACAAAATCTCTTATTGTCGTGAAGAATGTTAATAAGAGTCATAATTTATATTTTCTTTGTTGATTACTTTTTTTTTTAAAAAAAAATCTACCTCAGTGGATCCCACTTAAATGTGGTAAAACCCCCCTTACATACCCCTTGGTGGGAATTGAACCCAGATCTAATACTAAGAAACACAACATTCTAAACCACTAGGCTGTTATTCAATTCCTTTCTTAGTCGGTTTCTTATATGTAAAGACTAAAGTGATAACTAGTTAATCGAATTTTAATGACATAAACATACACTTACAATTACTAAGAAAAATCGACTTTACTATTTGGTTTTTTTTAGTAGGTTTTTAAAGAAAATTTTATTAATCTATGTCCCATCCCAATATATTTTTTTTACATTTTCAATTCACCTTTTTATATTTTTTAATAAAAAACGTAAAAACTACATTAAAAAAAGATCTAAACATATAATGTACTACCTCCTTGTCACGAATGGAGCTGTTAACAGATGTTAAAGTGAAAATTTACCAAAGTTTTGGGCGTTAATTTAATACTTAGTATTTACTGGAATTCAGACAGAAATAGAAATATTTATTTGGCTTTTACTGTTTTCCTAGATGTTTAAACTGTAATTCTTCCTGGAAAAATTGTGGATTTTCCTGCAAGGAAATCCTTCTAGAATCCATCCTTGGTGGCAGTTTGTTACAAGGAATCCAGAGGAATAACTATAATTAGCTGTAATTGTCTTTTGGAGAATTTAGTGAAGAATTATTCAGTTACCAAAGCCTAGATCTGAGAATTTGTTCTTTTATTTTCATCTTTATCCAAATTTCGGTTACCAAAGCCTAGATCTGACAAGTAGGTATCAGAGCCAGGGAATTCCACGGCTCGATTCAGTGATGGCTGATGGTAATAAATCGGTGAAGCAACTGGAGGACCAGATCCGGAAACAGGAAGCAAGATTGACTGAAGTCACTGCAAATTTTAATGAACACATTAATGGGAAGCTATGGGAGTTTCAGAAAATGTTTGATGCAAAGCTAAAATGGGTATGGAGGGAGCGGCGACCAAAAGTCAGATCGATTGTCTCGAATCGCTCATTTCCACTCTGGCCAGACGCACATCAACCCACACACGCCATCGACGCCTCTGAGGGATAAGCAACCGGTCCATTTTGGAGATCTACTGGCTGATAAGGTTCCATTGGCACTCATCATCGGAAGTCCTTCGAGACCCCCACTGGAGGTTGAGTTCACTGCTGCTACTTATGACAGGGGGTTTAGACCACTATGGTTTACTCAGCCCCGGATCGATTTACCAACATTCGAAGGAAGCAATCGACCCAGAGAATGGTTGTGTAAATGCGATAAGTTTTTCTTGTTACACCAAGTGGCAGAGCATAGAAAGGTTAACCACATCGAGTTATATTTGGAAGATAGAGCAGAGACTTGGTTTCATACCATGA